CTACCCTGATTTTTCGTATGCTGAATCATTTTCCTCATTTAAATTACACAAAATTGAAAAGCCACTAATTTTTTCCCGGCAGAATTCCGCTCTCAGAGGCAGGAAAAAACATTTCAATTAAGGGTAATATCAATTCTGTGGTTATTTATTTTTCATAATTGAAGTTGACTTAAAAAACAATTAAAAAAATAGAAACCGATAATACTCTAGAATGAAAAAAAATATGTCATTATGGACAAGTGGGGGTGGCTATAATGCTCGCATTTTTTGGGGTTTTAATTGCCATCATTTACGATTTTTTCAAAGCCGCATTATTAAAATTATTATAAATGTACATTAAAATTTATATTATTAATTAAATTTATTATATATTTTTCCCTGTTATTAATTATTATTATTATAGATTTTGGGGAGCGGTTTGGGGGGCTACGGGAGGGAAAGGTATTGGGGTTAATTTAGGGAACGGAAACAGATCCAGTTTTAGTCAAAGTCCTCACCCAATAATAAAATTATTATTATGCATAACAATAATACAATATCAGTGGACCCTCCCCCAACACTTTTAATCCTTTTCCGAGGTCATCGTTAGGGAAATTTCGTTGGGCAAATTAATTTTCCCCATAAAAAATAAGGGGGAAAAATAAAATTTAACCCGTTCCTGCCCCCCAAAAGTAGAACCAAAAAAAAAATTTTTCCACATGAAAAATTTTAATTTTTAAAACACACAAACTGGGAAAACAGCACAGTTAATGCCTTACCTTTTTTGAAAACGGTATGATGATGGGGTGGGAGGAGGGGAAGGTTGATGGGGTTGTGTTTAGAAGGGGAATCCCCCTTCCCTTTGGACTTTAGGTGGAAGCCTTTTTCCGGGGGTTTCTTCCTTCTTTTATGCCACAAGGACCAGCTTGAGGTCACTGGACCTGTTCGCACAAAATATCTCCCATAGAGACCTGTACCTCCTGTTTCTTTTCGACATTCTTAAATGTTTAAAAAACAGCCAGTGTATAGTCACCAGCACGGCTTCAATGCTTGTGAGGGTGATTTCATCAAAAAAAGTTTTTGCCTTTAAGCCACATTGCACACATTTCCCTTAAACTTTGAAGTAAACAAATTCCCAATTTCTCTATCCCCTCCTCCGAAGCAGTTTTCCCCGGTTTGGGGGTCTGCTGTTGAAAAATGATCTAGCAGTCATCATGGTTAGTTCTTCATTGTCCTTCTCCCCAAATCTTCCACCCTCCCCCCAAAATCCAACCCCAAAGGACTTCCCCAATCCCCCAATGGGTTCCTCAACTGGATAGGTTTTCCCCGGGTTAGCCCCAAACCCTTCAAAATCTCTTTTGTTTCACTTCTGGCCACGTTTCTTCCAAGAAGTTCAAGGTCCTCTAGTCACTTCCTCCAAGCCTTACCTTAATGTTTTCCAATTTAGGAGCTAAAGTGATCTCTCCCCAAAAATTCTTAAAGCAATTGAGTTTCGAGGCACTACAAAAACACCTTTTAAACATGCTTTTTTGTACAGTTTCTGAAGTTGGAAAAAATTTTGCGGGCCATGGGCTGCACAGAGGAGTGGTAAGGAGGGAAAAATTGACCTTAAGAAGTCATTTCCCCAGAAAGTCGCTCTGCCCTGTTGAAGGATGACCAGGGATTGCTAAAACCAAGGGGGACTTAAGTCTAATTTCTTTTCAATTAGGTAATTTTTCACAGTGGGGGCAAATGCATGGTGTAACCAGTCATAGAAAAAGTCCCTAGTGACCCATGCCTTACTGTTTGCCCTCCACAGCACACACAAATTAGCCTTGAGGACATTGTTTTTCCTGAACACTCTGGGAGTTTCAGAGTGATACACCAATAAAGGCTTCACTTTGCAATCACCACTAGCATTGGCACACATCAACAGAGTAAGCCTGTCTTTCATAGGCTTATGTCCTGGGAGTGCCTCTTCCTCCTGAGTAATGTAGGTCCTGTTTGGCATTTTCTTCCAAAACAGGCCTGTTTTGTCACAATTAAACACTTGTTCAGGTTTCAGTCCTTCACTGTCTATGTACTCCTTGAATTCCTGCACATATTTTTCAGCTGCTTTGTGGTCCGAACTGGCAGCCTCACCATGCCTTATCACACTATGTATGCCACTATGATTCTTAAATCTCTCAAACCAACCTTTGCTGGCCTTAAATTCACTCACATCATCACTAGTTGCAGGCATTTTTCTAATTAAATCGTCATGCAACTTCCTAGCCTTTTCACATACGATCGCTTGAGAGATGCTATCTCCTGCTATCTGTTTTACGTTTATCCACACCAATAACAGTCTCTCAACATCTTCTATCACTTGTGATCTCTGTTTCGAAAACAAAGTTGCGTCTTTGGCAAGAACAGCTTCCTTGATTGCCGTTTTCTTGGCCACAATAGTAGCGATGGTTGATTGGGGTTTTGTGTACAACCTGGCCAGCTCGGAGACACGCACTCCACTTTCATACTTAGCAATGATCTCTTTCTTCATATCCATAGTAATTCTCACTCTTTTTGCTGTAGGGTTGGCACTAGAAGCTTTCATGGGGCCCATGGTGACTTATTTTGCAGGTGCAATCACTAAAAAGGCTGTGATAATATGAAATGTTCCGATTGTATGCTTGGAAGCGGCCGCGGTGGCTGGCTTGTAAACACTGGCACCCACGGAACAAGTGAGGAGGACTCAGGCCGCACGTGGACGCGTCTCAAACGAATCTCGTTGAGCGAGTTTTTTAGCGCTAGCCGAGGCAAAAATTTTGCGTTAAAATGTATCGTTAGGCGGATTTAACGTTATGCGATGCGTTCGTTAGGCTAGGGTCCACTGTACATTGTAATAATAATAATAATAATAATAATAACAGTAAGGAGAAACTTCAAAAGGCTGTCAGTAGTTGGAGCCACCATCAGCAAAATATTGGTAACCACCACTTTTCACCCATCTAGACTTAAGTAGTCTATAAGTATTGGGTGAAGTCTGCCCGAAATGCCTCAGCATGATAGTGGCTTTCTTTGCTCCAATCATATTATGATATGTAAACACCCATTGTAAGCTTTGCGAAGAAATAAATATTTTATTTATTTATTTATTTATTTATTTATTTAAGGAACCTCCCTTGAGGGGGAAGTACGCATCCTGAAATTTTGTTCGTATCCAGGAGCAAAAAATCGACCGAACGACGGCTTGTATCCTGAAAAGTTTGCATGGTGGTGCATTCATAAGCCGAGGTTCCACTGAATTGTTTATTATGTCATATTAGATGAATTGTGATAGATAAATAAGGCGTACAGTTGATAATATTGTCATATTCAAGTACCTTTTCTCGTCTGTCCAGAGTGCAGGGGCGGATTAACCCTTTGACTGTCGCGGCCGTATATATACGTTTTACGAGGTGCCGTGTTTGACGTATATATACTCATAAATTCTAGCGGCTTCAAATCAAGCAGGAGAAAGCTGGTAGGCCCACATGTGAGAGAATGGGTCTGTGTGGTCAGTGTGCACCATATAAAAAAAATCCTGGAGCACGCAGTGCACAATGAGAAAAAAAAAAACTCCGACCGTTTTTTTTAATTAAAATGCCGACTTTGTGGTCTATTTTCGTATAGTATTTATGGTTGTATTCTCGTTTTCTTGGTCTCATTTGATAGAATGGAAAACATATTACAGAAATAGAGGTGTTTTTGATTGATTTTACTATAAAAAGAACCTAGAAATGGAGCTCAAATTAGGGGAAATGTTTGATTTTTGCCAATGTTCAAAAGTAAACAAATGATGCCATTGTCCAATAAATGTCCAACTAGCCATTCTAATATGCAGTCATGAATGGGTTGATGTTATTTATACAGTTATTACAGCATTTCAGTAGTCTGCATAATAGTAAATCTAATATTTTTTGTTTGAATAAAAATTCAAAATAGAAAGCAAGAGTAATATCAGAGGGGCCTGGAGACGTGACTGATGAACAAAGAAAACGTTATTTTAGAGCCTGGAATGTCTGCATTGTTCATTCTGGACCTTATTTTGAAATTGTCATATTTTTTAGTTTTTGTGAAATTGGCCAAATTGCAAATTTCTGACCACATTATTAGGTAGTTGAAATCAGTAAATGGGCAGTTTCTTGTACTCAATCGATAGAAAAAATGAAGTTCTAAAGAAATAGCTATGAGTTTGGGCGACTGGAACAATGGAATTAGCCAAAAATAGGGCTCAAAGTGGGCAAATGCCGATTTGTAAACAGCGCCGAGGTCGCTAACTTCGTGAGAGCATAATTCCGTCAGTTTTCCATCAAATTTCGTTTTTTTTGGTGTCATTACAATCGGGAAAAGATTCTCTATCATTTCATAAGAAAAAATAATTTTTTTTTTTTTTAAATTTTGCGACACCAGGAGACACCTCAGGATTGGGGGTTGCGACAGTCAAAGGGTTAATGGCTTTTCATTTAATTTAAATGAGGAAAATTAATTTGATATACGAGTAAATTGAGTTACGAGCTAGCTCCTGGAATGGATTAAACTTTTAAGTCAAAGTTCCACTGTATACATGAATGAAAATTTATGTACATCGTATATCATGTGGTTACGCGAAGCAGGCATTGGATGATTTCCTTGTTAAAAGCATGTGATGACAGTATTATATTACAAAAGTACATATGTGATTGTCATGGGAGGATTTGCCATGGCTGTATTATATTGTACTAGTATGTGATGGTCATGGGAGGTTTTGCCATGGCTGTATTATATTAGACTAGTATGTGATTGTCATGGGAAATGTGTCCAGATATATGGAGGTTTTGGTGTAGATTTTTTAATTAACTTAAATTTTTTTTAGGTCATATTCTGTTTATTTTATATTGTTCATTACTTCTTTTTTTATATTATTTAGAAAATTGCGTGGAACCTGTTGAGAATATTAGTATGTTTATTACCGTACATGAAAAAAAATATGATTAAAACAAATTTCTGACAGATACTAACAAAATTGAACCTATTCCTGACAGGTAAACTATAGTGTTTCAGCCCCCAGTAATCCATCAGCAACCACTACATTCAAGAAGCTAATAAGAGATACTTTAGCACTATAACATTGGCTGTACATTAGGTTACTTCAGCTTTCGTCCTGTGCTGCTTGCAGAAGACGTCATTGGGGAGGCTTTTGTTGCCTTGGTATTCTGAGGCTCTGAAGTGTGGTAAGGCCCAAAATGATTTGGAGTACTCTCTTGCAAGGAAGTTGGATGTCCATTATGAAGTCAGTATGTGGTCTGATGGCAGACCATCAGTCTTGTTTCTTCTTTCTGAGTTCATAAGAACCATAATAACTTATTGCATCAGATTTAGGTACAATTGTTTATATACAAATATATAAATATATATATAATACTGTATGATGCATTGAATGATGGGAGACAAGTAAATTAGGGTTTGAATAATTACCTGGGGTCAATATTAAACTTTTTTTAGTGACCTGTGAAAAAAAAAAGATAGTGATATATTTAGGTGCCGATATTTTTCACAGTGCTAATAGTCTACATGTATCATTTGTAATAATTATATTGCCAGTGCTGCAGTAGTTGCAGATGACCTATTTGCTTATAGATCTTTTATGCTGAAATCAACAAAGTACTGTAAGTTACCGTACCTGCTGTTTTCTCTACTCAGCAGTAATTGCATTTTGACTTAGTCACAAACTAGATTATAGTTTAGTCATAAATATTAAAACATCGCATTCAACATACTCAGTTTTCTCTTTTTTTTTTACCTGAAATTATTGTGCAGAAGCACATCATGTGGCTAGTTTTTAAAGTTTCTAATTGAAACTTTGATTGCATTCCCTAGTAACAAGGGCATGTGCTGAAGTAAATATTTAATCTATATTTTAGATATAAGTTAAACCAAGTTCTAAAAGTTTGGTATGAGGGATACTGAACCACTGAGAATATTTCATGCAGCGAAACCTTTCTCTTGGTTTATTTTTGTATAAAATTCCTGCATCTGTTATTCAGCTTTCTCATAGGATGTCATTGAGTGAATTGAATCACCACTTCATTCCATACATGCCTGGATAACAGTTCTCTTCATTTGATTGTTTTCAGTATTTTTTTTTAAATTCATGTAATATGTGGAATGGGCCCTCATACATGCTTTTGTTATGATAAAAGCAGGGATAGCCAAATATGGCTTAACATATTCACTTGAGTACTGCAATGTTTCCAGTGAAACTGTGTTGCTCTTCATTAATATTTAGTGATTCTATACAGTGACATATTGAAAAATGAAGTAAAGTTATATCATACGTAGCAACCAATTGATATGGCTTTATTACTACTAGCTTAGTCCAACAAATAATGATTTGTTGCAAAATTCAGAAGAAAAATTCTTCTATATTTTTGTTTGATCATGCTGATTACAGTTTAGATTTAAATCAAGCTGTAATACATTATATTTTTACTAATGCACTCAGTATTGTACAGTTTGAAGAAATACTCTTGTGACTTCTAAATTGTTGTCTATTCTTGAGTGACATGCATACATAAAATGTTACTGGATTAACTCTACATTAACTTTACTTTTGAAAGTGCATTGCCAAAATTTAATTATTAGTCATTTTTTCCATGTGCCAAAAATATCCTGTTAAATATGTCACTTAGATCACAGAAATATATTTTATGTCAAATTTTGCTAAATACTGCATCATAGTCAGACTTGAAACATTTTGGTTCACAAGCTTGATTTGAATATGCAAGAAAGGTCTTGTTGACTTTGCTGGATACTTTCTGTCCATGAAAGACAATTCAGAAATTTGAATATTTATATCTTTAATAATTGTATAATGTTAATATATGTATTTCTAAAGCTATGAGATAAATCCTATTAAGATTTCTATTTGAAGTCTAATTATAATTTATACATGTAATTTTATAATTTATTATTGATCATAACACTTGTGGAAAGGTGAAATCACTTGAAATATTTCTTTATCACACTCAGAAGAGTTTCTTTTCTTGTAATCACAATGCTGTTACTTGTAAGAGCTGAAAAAGGCACTGAATGTGCCTGTAGTGGAAATAAAATATTTTTGTAAAGGCAACAATGTATTTTAAATGTCATAAAAGCTGTGGGAAGATGATTTCCCAGTCTCCTATGCATATAACCATTCATATTAGAATGAATGCACTTTTTTATGACAATAGAGTTGTTTATGCCATAGTAACTGCATATTCATCAACACATTTTCTTGGGCCAAGGTTTCATTGATGGATGCTCTTAATATTTTTCATATTTGGTGTCTCATTCTCTGCATAATTAAGCTATCAATGTTCCATTAATACTGTTATTAACTAATAAGACATGCACAGCATCTGCATATCTCTGTTGTAAAATGTTTCCTCAGCAAAGCAGGCTTCATCAGACTAATACAGAGGCATGAGGATGGGGCTTTTTTGCTGGAGTCAGTGGAAGATGTGGAGAGGTGTAGCAGTTGAAAACATTAACATATGTTGGCAGTGCCCACTAGTTTAAATAGGTGGGGGTAATATGGTGAGCCATAGATTTAGCAATGGAGTTGTAGAACATGTGGACAGATGAAGCAGTTGAAGATCTCACATGTGTGGAGTGCTCACTAGTGGAAGTAGCCCAGGGCCATAATGTGGGCCAGAGATTCAGCATTGGAGCTTTAGAAATTTTTTTTTGTACCATTAGAAGTTGACATAAAACAAATGTGACTCTTGGTCTCTCAATAAAGATAATGCACCCACATTTGTCTTATTTGCCAATTTGTCAATATTATACCATTTATCTAATGATACTTGTATAAAACAGCAAGACCATGGACTCTTGGTACAGAGAAGCTCTTCTTCAAGTCCATTGCTAAATCTCTGGCTCAGTTTGTGGGCCTAACCTACTACTAGTGGGCACTGCCCACATGTGAGCACATCTTCAACTGCTGCAACTCTGCACGTTCCAAAAACTCCTGTGCTAAATCTGTGAAAGTAGGCCAGGCCCAATTTATGGGCCTGGCCTACTTTCACAAGTGGGTCCCACCCATATGTGATGATGTCCTTAACTGCTGAACCTCTTCACTACTACTACTACTACTACTACTAGCTCCAATATGAAAGCCACCTTCCTTGTCCCTCTGTATTAGGTTGATAAAGCCTGCAGTGCAGGCAAAACATCTCAATGAAGATAGTCAGGTGATGCATACATGTCTTATTTGTTAACTTGTCAGTATTATATGATTGATCTGATAATGCTGTTATTATTGGCCATTTGGCAGTTATTTGACTTCTTTTATGAATATATTGCACAAGTATTTTACAGTACTTAGTATTTGAACCCAATCTAGTAGTGAATGTCCTTGAAATACATGAAATAAAACATATTCTTGCTTAATTACATAAGTTAAATATTTTGTGGAGTTAAGAAAAAAGTTTTGTGGTTTAGAAAAAAATGAGATTTAATATTAGTTAAGCTAGCACTGAAATATTTATATAACATGTCTGATAGGTTAATTATAATAGATATTATATTGTACTTAACTCTGCAAAATTAAGGAGGGGTGTTAATGTTGTAGTTTAAAAACTGTAGTGTAAAGCACCCTTCTGGCAAGACAGTGATGGAGTGAATGATGGTGAAAGTTTCTCTTTTCGGGCCACCCTGCCTTGGTGGGAATCGGCCAGTGTGATAATAATAAAAAGGTAATAAGAATGAGGACTGGAATGGTGCGAATATTATAAAGGCAAGCTATTTAATGAAGGAAATATGCCATGGTTGGGCTTATAAGATTAAGTTACTTATGGCATGAGTAAAATTTCCGTTAACAAAAATTAAAGAGGATGTTGTGATAGCATATCATGACAAAAACAGAGATAAATAGGATGTTTTGTTTTCTGAAATGAAAAGGAGTGAGAATGGTGTAATAATAAAGTATTTTTGAGTATGATGAATGATCTGAATGGCACAGTTGAAACAGGCCCCAAGAATGCTATAGTGGGGTGTACATTTTGTTAACAATGTAAATCATTAATGTGTTTTAGGTACGTACAAGGATATTGACATATACTTGGTAACAGTACTGTGTCAAAGGAAGAATAGAGTATCCAGGACATTGCAAATGCTGTGGGAATTTCTTTTGGGTTGTGTCAAAGCATTTTGACTAAAAAATTGAGTGAGATGAGTGACTGCAAAATTTGTGCCCTGCTTGGTGACTCAAGACCAGAAAAAACATCTTTTATGGCCAAAACCAACATAGCGGTTGTTCTCCACACTTCCTACTCCCCAAGTATAACCCCTGTGACTTCTTTCTCTTCCTGAAATTAAAAATGGCATTCAAGGAGTGGTGTTTTATAGTTACACAGTGGTACCTTGACTTACGAGTGTAATTTGTTCCATGACCGAGCTCGTAACTCAATTTGCTTGTACATGTATATCAAATAAATTTTCCTCGTTGAAATTAATTGAAATGCCATTAATCCATTTCAGCCCCAAAAAAGCCACCCCAGGGGCAGGAGAAAATACTTCAATATAACACTAATATCAACTCTGTGGCTTATTTATCTATCAGAATTGATCTAATATGACATAATAAACACTATAAGTAACATAGAAACATATGTACTCTAGAATGAATAAAATAGGCCATAATATGGCGAGTGTCCAGGACCAGTCCTAGCATATAAAATCATTACTGTTCCTTCCTTTAACATGTTCTTTTGTCCTGGTTAAGAGAAAACAAGAGTTTTTGAGAGGCTAACTGCACCAGATCACTAGTGCAGTGATATATGAATATCTTGGAAAGTAAGTTATTGACTTATTTCATGAAGCCCACCATTTATTATTGAAGTAAATGGAATAATATTGACAGGAATAATAAAAAAATGATTGTTCTACAATTGGCTTGTGGAATATTGGAAATACAGTGGACCCTCGGTTTTCATGTTTAATCCGTTCCTGAGCCATCGGCCAAAACTGAAACTGGCCAAAATTGAAACCATTTTCCCCATAAGAAATAATGTAAATGGAATTAACCTGTTCCAGACACCCAGAAATATCAACAAAATAAATTTTTTTACCTTAAAGATAGTTACATGCACAAAAGAATGAACATTATACATGACATTTACCTTTATGGAAGGCTTTTGTTGCTAGAAGGAAGGCAGGGAGAAGGGGAGAGGGAAGATAGGGCATTGTTTGGAAGGGGAATCCCCCCTCCATAAGGACTCTAGGTACCAAGTCCTTATCTGGGGTCACTTCCCTTCTTTGTTTTTTACTGTCACTAGGACCACCTTGAGAGTCACTGGACCCCTGTTGCACAAAATATCTGCCCAGATAGGTCTGTTTATGGCGTCTCTTTGAGATTTGCCTAAAATGGGACATGGCATTGTCATTGTAAAAGTCACCAGCACGGATTGCAACAGCTTTCTCAGGGTGATGTTCCTCCACAAATGAATGCACTTTAGTCCACATTGCACAAATCTTTGAAGAAGGCACCTTCTTCCATCTCTCTTCCTCCTCCTTCTCTGAAGCAATTTCCTCAGCTGTGGTCTGTTGCTGTTGCAGATGAAGCTCATGCAGCTCATCAGTGGTTAGCTCTTCATTGTAGTCCTCCACCAACTCTTCCACATCTTCCAAACTCACATCCAACCCCATGTAATTCCTCAATGCCACAATTGATTGCACAACAGGTGTAGGGTCGACAGGGTCAGCCTCAAACCCTTCAGAATCCTTCTTTTGGACACAATCTGGCCACAATTTTCTCCAAGCAGAGCTCATCGTCCTGGAAGTCACTCCCTGCCAAGGCTTATCTATTAAGGCCTATGCAGTGGAAGATATTGAAGTGATTCTTCCAGAACTCTCTTAGGGTAAATTCAGAGTCCAAGGTTATGTCAAAGCACCTTTGAAACATTGCTTTGGTGTACATTTTTTTGAAGTTTGCACTGATCTGCTGGTCCATGGGGTGGAGGAGAGGAGTGGTGTTAGGAGGCAAAAACTTTACTGTTACAAAACTGAATTCCTTAGACAATTGGTCTTCCAAGTCTGGAGGACGAGCAGGAGCATTGTCCATTAACAGGAGGCACTGGAGTGGCAATTTCTTATCCAGGAGGTATTTTTTCACACTGGGGCCAAACACTTCATTAAACCATTCCAGGAAAATTTCCCTTATGACCCATGCCCTACTGTTTGCCTTCCCCATCACACACAATTTACTCTTGACAACACTGTTTTTCTTGAACACTGGGATTTTCAGAGTGATACACCAGTAAAGGCTTCACTTTGAAATCCCCACTAGCATTACCACACAACAAGAGAGTTAGCCTGTCTTTCACATGCTTGTGACCTGGGAGTGCCTTTTCCTCCTGCATTATGTAGGTCCTCTTTGGCATTTTCTTCCAAAACAGGCCTGTTTCATCACAGTTGAACACTTGTTAGGGTTGGAATTTTTCAGCCTCTACATAACATTTGAATTCCTGCACGAAGTTTTCAGCAGCTTGTTTGTCTGAACTGGCACCCACGCTGTGCCTTACAACACTGTGTATGCCACTTCGCTTCTTGAATTTTTCAAACCAGCCTTTGCTGGCCTTAAATTCATCTACATCATCACTTGTTTCAGGCAGTTTCTTAAGAGGTCATCATGTAACTGTCTTGCCTTTTCACAAATAATTGACTGCACAACACTACCTCCTGCTAACTCTTTCTCTCTGATCCACACCAACACAATTTCTCCACTTCTCCAGTAGTTTGAGATCTCTGTTTGGTTATCGCATTCACCCCTTTTGCAACATCAGCTTCCATGATTTCTTTTCTTTTTTGCCACAATGGAGCTGATTGTTGATGGCGACTTCCCATACATCCTGCCGAGTTCAGCAATGCGTATGCCAGTATCATATTTTCTTAGGATTTCTTTTTTCATTTTTCCGGTGTTCCTCACTTTCTTCACCAAAGGACTGGCACTAGGAGCTTTCTTTGTGGCCATGGTGGCTTATTTAGCAGCCCCACACAATAAACAAGTGGCAAAGAGAATGGATTATTACGAAATGTTTCGTATGACCAGGCAGGATATGTTCACTCACCAAAAGACAACGCTACACTGGC